CATAAATAAAATTACATCGTCAGATTCTGATTTGGATACTGATAAATATAATCTTAGCGATAATGAATGTTACGAAGATACTATTGACGAGATTTTACGAGAGAATTGGTCATGGAAGAAGAAAGAAATGTTGATGATACCGAGGAAGCTACAGTTCAAATAAAAGATACGAAATGGACCGATCAGAGGCACGAGCATATCTGAAAAAACAAACAACTTTTTGTCCAAGCTGTCCTGATCAATCTCAACTTTGCAGAGAATGTTTTAATGTTATACACTGCGAATAATTGTTTTAATAAACCATTTTGATAAGAATTCAATAGTTTCATTACCTCCTGTAGAATATTTGTCGAAATATTTTCGGAAATCCTTTGTAAGTAGTCAAATCACCCGAATACGGGTGACAAGGCAGTCAACGTGTTAATCGATCCTTGCGGCTCGTTTTTACAGTTGCTGACAATCGGTAACTATAGAAACGAGCCGCAAGATCCGAACAATCGTATCACTTCTTGCAAAATTGTCCATTTTTGTTTTCAAGCTGGGCGTCAATTAGGGAGAATTTACTGTAGCTTGATTCGATTTAGATCATGCTGAAATTGAAGAAATTGTTTAAGTGGCAGTCCAGAGTGTGAGAGAGAGAGAGAGAGAGAGAGAGAGAGAGAAATCTTAATTTATGATAATAAAATAGTTTGCTTGTTTTGTTGGAGACATTTTGGAATGGTCACCCTAGTATTATCATAGGTTTTGTTCTAAATAATACGATTTTCAAATGAATACGTTTTATTCCTCGTAAAGTGTTCGTAAAAGTTATTCAAAGGTATGGTTTGCTTGAGGAACAGTTTAAACTCTCAGCAATTTTAAAAAAAGTTCTTATAATGGTGCTCGAAGCAGACGCTATTTTATTTCAAACATTCCAGTTTATTCGAAGGATGAAAGTTTGAAAATAATTTTATTCCGAACTACGACAGTTGAAACATAATTTTATTTTCGGAACGTTCGGGAGTAATTATATTTTAAATCAGAAGCTTAAAAGTAATTATATGAAAGTTTAAAAGTAATTACATTTTAAGCTGGAAGTTTAAAAACGACAACATTTAAAACTGGCATCGAAATAATTCTATTTCAAACACCCCTAGAGCTCGGAATTAATTTTATCTCGAACTGTGATAATTTCAAGTTTAATTTTACACCGTGCACAAACACTTAGACGACGGTGTTTAAAGCACCGCTTCATTATATGAATATATGATATCGTATCGATTGTACGAATATACGATCGATTGAATATTTTATACGTTTCTCGAGTGTTCATAAATCATCCGACCGTGAATACAGACTTGCGAGACGAAAGTCTAAGAATTTCTAACTGAGAGAATCATTAGCGACAGAAATGTTTGATCAAGTAACTTGGACAAGCGACGGTAGAATCGTCTACCAAACGTCCATCGACTTTGTACACGGTATAATTGACTCCCGATGGAATCGCGCGCAACCAAAATGCATAGATGTCCTAATTAGGTGAACGGTTCCAAGTTATTGGCTCCTGAAATACTTTAATCGACAGTCGAACGCGCGAGAAGTTCTTGCAGGATTCGGTGCTCTCGAACGCGGGATCGAACTATTTCATAAACCGAAGTTTCGGAGGTCGACCGCGCCCGAACGGCTCTCGAAAATGCGCTGCAAAACAATTCCTAATTAGACAACTCGAACGCCAATAATAGCCCGGATTAATATTCCTCGAGGCACCGATACGTTCCACCAAACGTCCGGTGGAAGAGGTCTTCGATCGTTTAGTCGAACCAATACTCTTCAAATTGTCCGCGTGTATCACGATCGATACGATTTTATACTATTTTTAATTATCAATAAAATTTTATTCGAATTACCAGATAGAATAATTTCTCCGAATAAAGAATTATACGAATAAATAGATAGAATTATTTTGTGAAGATTGGAGTAATTTGTGAAGATTAAATAATTACTCGAATAAATAGATAGAATAATATGTGACGATTAAATAATTATTCGAATAAATAGATAGAATAATCTATGGCGATTAAATAATTACTCGAATAAGTAGATAGAATAATCTATGGCGATTAAATAATTACCCGAATAAATAGATAGAATAATCTATGGCGATTAAATAATTACCCGAATAAATAGATAGAATAATCTATGGCGATTAAATAATTACTCGAATAAATAGATAGAATAATCTCTATGGCGATTAAATAATTACTCGAATAAATAGATAGAGTAATTTATG